AATTGCTAACTCAAGAAGAAAATTTGGAAAGCTGAAATTTCAACGAAATGTCCCCTGTCCAAATACTGCGTACACAGTTAACTTCCCAGACTTCGAGGACCAGTATATCACACATTTCTAGCTACTGGGTTTCTGAGCGACCTCATTACAGCACGAAATATTGCAAAAACGCATAATCGCAAGAGCCAGCCCGGTGCGCGTCACCAATGATTTCTCTAGTATTAACGATAACACGCTATATTTCAATCACTATTCAACGATTCTAATGCTTTTTTCTCGGAAATTTTCTAGCATAAAATTTTCTGGCATTTTTACATAAACCAGTTCAAACAGTGTGGGAACAGATTATAGTTGCTTTTTGATGTTGATTTTCACCCAAATTTTGATTTTTCATTCCCCTGCTTTTGGTGTTCTTGGCTGCAAAAAAAGGACTTCTGTAGCATGAAAGCTTTAGGCGTTATACTGGAACAAAGTACACCGTTTTATTTTCTGTTTAAGCTCCTGCAAAACGCAGAAATAACAAGGCGAGTTCCTCAAAAAGCATACTGCCCCTCCAAAGGGTGTATGATTGATGAAATGCAATAAACATCCTCAGAGTAGCTGACAAACTCGGAGTAGAATGCTGTTTCGGGCTGAATAATGCTTCTCAAAAAAAAAAAAAAGACCGACTAGCAACGTATCTGGCATGCAGTGCAACTGTACAGCACAAACAGTGGTGAAAAACAGCAACACGCAGTTGGCATGTTCGTGCGTTTTTGTGGCTCTTTCATGGACTCGCACTGAATGTATTCGTACATATTGCCCATAATGATGTTTAAACTTACCGAATGGTTGCATTAGGAAAATCTCGATTTACAAAAAAACTGCTGAGTGGAGTCGTGTAGTTAAGCTGAAGAGAGTTTTGTAGTCTTCGGTTTCAACCCCAAGTTTCAAGTTTCCTAACACCAGCGCTTCAATTTGGACATCAGGTCACAGACGAAAGTCTACTCCTCTAGCTTCCTATGCTGCATAGTATGACAATTAAAATGGACACTGCACAGAAGTGCCAGATTCAAAATGGATGGTCTGTTTCGTCCCAAAGTGGATGAGAATGCCACTGTCTCATAGTGACGTCTTTGAAATTAACACTTCCAAAAAAAAAATCAATAAAACATCTCATTTTTTTCTTTCCTCCATTTCGGAATTTCTCTTTATTTTCCAGATAAGAGCCTCAATTTGTTACAATTATTTCATGCAGCAAGGCTCGCAAACACACAAACATCCATCGTTTCTATACAAAGAACTCAAAAGATGCCTCATAGTTCGAGCCGTGAACCATACCGTCAGACGTGCAAGTGAAGCGACTAGCGATTTTTTTTTTCGATGATTGTAATTAAATTTCTCCTGTAATGTCCCAACTCAACCTCATCGTAGTGTGATTTCTCCTGCTCATATGTAAGCTAATGATTTCAAATCTAGCCATCGCACATAATAGTGTCAGACAAAGTCAGCATTTGGCACCGCGCCAAGCCGAAGACTAGCCGGAAAATTATGATTTTGCTTGAATACTGGCCGCCCTTCCAAGAAATCGGTATGCATAAATGGAGTTTCGAGTTGCACTTGCGTCACATCCTAGGACACCATAAAGATAACTGTAGCAAAATAACAATTTCGGGTACCGATCAAGCTGCGAAGCTGGAATTTTGCAGGAACACTCTGCATTCACACGTGGTCTAAATGCAACTTAAAGGCCAAATTTCCTGCACATTTGAATTTCGAGCAGCAGTGCTTCTTCATTTTGGCTTTCCCCTCCAACAGAGCAACTTGTAAGGTTTTTATCCTGTTTTGACTGAGAGTTAAATTTTATCAGTTCACCTCAGAATGCGAGAGGAGTAACTCAGAAACAGTTTGTTAAGCTCAGTGCTTCTGATTTGTGAAGTCAAATCAAAAATCAGTTCAACTCCACAATTGTTGCTACTGTATAGTTAAAAAAAAACTAGATTATGAATTACAGGTAATCCGTTTATTCAGTACTAGCCTAGATTTGAGCGGGTCACGAATTCGGGATCTCGCTTTCTGCGCGAACATGATAATGGCGATAATATTCTCATGACTTGATGCAATATCTTTTTAGGTGATCGCACCGAAAAGCCTGGTGCGTTCCAGCCTGGATTAGGTTCTAGAATATGCGCCTTTAGTTGATCACAAAAGCGCATATAGCCTTTCATGACGCTCTGTCACCACTGCTAAAATGCAGGACAAAAAAGATCATTTATTATTCTTTTCACAAAGAAATGCCTGAAATTTCCAGTTTCTCCTGCACAACCTAGTGCTTTTTCTAAAGATGTGCGCCTTCAAAACCCTCGTAGTTGCAGCCCAGAATTAACGAGCACGTGCTTTTCTAAGATTTGCTGTTGTGGGCAGACCGAGGATTGATACGTCAGCGCATGCAAACGATTCTGTCCTCCCAATGTTTGAAAAAGCATCATAATATTCTTTGTTCGATATGAAGTTATAATATCATAGTATATCCGGACCCAACATTTTTAGCCAAGACAAAATTAGGCTTGAAGTTTGGTTCTAAACCTGGACCCTCATATACAGTGAGGAAATCCTCAAACTTCTGGCTTCCTGGCTTTCGCAGTTTTGGACCTAAGAAGGGCGTAATTTCACTAGAATCGATTTTGTGTGTAAAACATGAATAATCCTAACTGCTTCATGTTGATGCTTTAATTTTGCAACGCAGTGGCATGAAATGAGCTATTCCCATGTATTGTCTCCTGGCAAATATGCATCTTTCTCTCTATTAAAAGGAAAGGCTGGGAAATGACAAGTAAGCTAGTTATTGGAGGCGAATCGTGAAGGGCGTCATTAGCGTCTTCTGAGGAGAGCGAGTCATCAACGCCGATTATAAGGCTGCTGCCGCTTTATTTAATCTGTGCTCGCAGACAGCACTGTTATTATTGTTATTGTTGATTGGTTTTTCGGTCTGACTTTCCTAAAAATCGGCTGGTCCGTTCTGGGCTGAAGCCTTTCAAGCATATTCAAGCTCACTCTTGCCTTCCCGATTCTATTCTTCCCTCGAAAACAGGGCTTTGCTGTGGGTAGCGCTTCTTTCATTTCTGACCAGTGAAGGTTTTCAGCTCAGTATGCACTGATTCAAACCGAAAAAAGAAATAAAGTGGATCTTCAAGAATAAAGCTCATTCGATTGCTTTCACTTTCATTTATGCATTTCTGCACAATAAAAATGCAGTAAGGCAAGACTGTGTTTATAAACGACCCAAAAGACTGAGCTGCCGCCGCCTGCATTTTCTACTTCCCATGTAGGCACTATGCAGAGAGAATGGTGGGCCTGAACAGAGGAGGATAGGGAGGGAAATGAGGTAAACTCGGCGATCCTTTTGGCGAGCTACGTCTAACAGGGCCCGTTCTCCATCCTCCATCTTGTAATTAACCCCGCTTAGTATCGCATTTTTAGATGGACGAGATGCTGCTGTGGGTTCTGCAAATTCTGTACAGCGTTATTCCCACTGCTTAGTTGCCGTTGGTTGTTTCGACTGTGGTGGCCTTACGCTAAAAAGTATAGGTGGTGGTAGCCTAAGTACTACGCGACTGTCGGTAGCCTCTGCCCTGCACGGTCAGTTCTCTTACAATCGCCGTTTTGAAAGCTTCAAAGCGAAGTGCAGGTCGTAAGGTCACTTTTATGCGTTTTTGCATCTTTAAGCAAGTGCTAAAGCACATATTGTCGGGAGGCTGTCCGTGTTTATTCGAAGGCAAGTGAACTCTGTGCCCCACTTTCAACTTAGCAACTGGAAAAGCTAGAAAGTTGAAATTTTAAAGGGATATTCCTGAACCATAAGCCATTCTCCCATTTTAAAATCCACATCCAAGAGCGCCTGAATCTCGCGTATTGGATCCTGAATGCATGTAATTTTTTTGACGGGAAAGATTTTGAAAATTAGATAAGATAGAAAGTTGAAACTCTGCGAGGACTTTATCTGTTCACGTGTGAATAAAAAATCTCGAATTCAGTTTTCGTGCACGCTTGCATTACGCATATCGTCACATCAAATTTGCATTTGGCGCCATGGCAACTCGAGAACTAGCGAAGAAAAGATGGCTGTAATTTTGTCGGAATATTTATTGTCCTTATAGAGATTCGTGTGTTTAAATCGACTTTCGAATCGCTCATGTGCCGCGCCTTAGGATGCTTCACAAATATTTTCAGTGATGTGACGATTCGGTCTTCGGACAACCTGCGAAGCTGAAATTTCTCAAGGATATTCTATATTCAAGTGTGGTTTAAATTTAGCTTGAAGGCTAATTTCTCTGCGTACAATCATAACTAATGCTCATTTTAGATTTCACGCTGGTTCTTTGCTGCAGCACCACCATTCCAACCGACACCCTTTTTCCTCTACGTACAGGAAAAGATCAGAACAAGTGTGCACATGTTAAAATGTAAAGCAACAACCATTCATACTATTAGCGATCAGACTGCTTTAAGTCTGGCATAAAAATGAATGACCGAACCGGATATTCTTGTGCGTTTTTTTACCTGGGTCATTATTCCAGAGCTGATTTGCCCAGATCAACATCAGCTATTGCTCAGCGTAATAGTAGCCACAGCGTTCGTTGCTACAGCTGATAATACTATATCATGAAACACTACACATTAGAAGCCCACTAGCTTGAAAATATGCCTGTGTAACAAGCAGCAGCTCTTGCGGGCGAGTACCATTTTTGCAACTTTAGGTTACGACAGTGCTCATACTACCACTCCGCATAAAACAAAGCAAATAGTGCTGTTTGCTTTGCTTTGTTTTTTGGCCGCCGAATCTTTTAAGCTGATTGCGCTACTGAAGGCAGATTAAAATGCAAGAAATGTTCGCTCTCGCTCTTTTCCTCTCCACTCTTTTCTCTCCACTAGCGCTATTTTTTCAATATTTGGCTAATGAAGATACCACGTCTTAAGGCATTAGTTTTGGCCGATGGCACAAGTCTGCCACAAGATATAAATTTAAACTTCCAGCTGTTATAATCGCAAAAAGTGGCAGCAACGCATCAGCTAGGATGAGTTACTTCTAGTGCAGCTGGCATATATAGGTGCATCACAGCACCACAGCATTTTCAGTCTTTTTGCTTTGGATCACTTATGGATGGAATCAGTTATTCTTCTGAGCATTTTTGCCCTTTGCTATATTGTTTAAAATTGATTTGCTGGCATCATGCATTGGTGGCTTCACACTAAATGGTTTTGACCATCAGAACGTAAATACCGAATTTTCGTACCTGTCTCTCCAAATTATTTTTTGTCAATACATAGAGTATTATGACATGGTTTCACCTCTGTCTGTTTGCATCTATAATTCTGTTGGACACTTAAATCAGTCTGCCCCATGCTAGGTTATTAAATTATGAACGCTTCGGAATCTGTTTTGTGGTATTTGCAGCAGAAATCACTAATGTGTTCCAAAACTCCTTACAAATAATATTGTGACCTGTACGTATATATATGACACTCTTTTAGTGCTCATTAATATTTGCAAGGATTACCAAAACTATCCTGACTGCCATTATAAAGCCCTTGCTGCTACTAAGGTGTAACTACACGATGAGCGCATTTTTATGAGGATTCATCTTGATCAGTCGGTCATTACTTTTGCCTGGTTCGCTTTTCGAAATGTTATAATAGCTTTGAAATATTTCAGGCAAAAAGAAGAGTGCTATCAGCAAAGTCAATATGGGTTTACAGATGTTTCAGTTGCATAATAAGGTCAGTTTCGCGATAAGACTTTTTCGGATTTTTAAAGTCATTGTCAGTTTCCTTGCGAAATTTCTAATTTAAACTGCGACACAAACAGTTCCCCCAAATATTCTTTTTACATTATAACGGTTCGCGGCCATCGGCATTGCGTGCATCTGTCTGAAAGAGAGAAAACTTCTTTGAGAAGTTTTGTTGATGGATGTCATTGACAATTATTCTGTACCAGTAAGCTGAGAAACACTTTTTTCAATGCTATTGGTTTTTTCCAGCAGATTGGTGCATTTGAATTTTCATGCGTTTTACCGTGAACCAAAAGGCATTATGGTAAGCCCGTGCCCACAAATGTATATTTACAAACACTTGCATATGTGTATCGGTTTCACAGCTACAATAAGCTAGAAAACTGAAATTTTTGGATTTGCCTCGACCATGCTCTATAAAAAGCTGAAATCGACTTTCAGCAGTGAATTCAATGGTCTAGCCAACATATTTCTAAGGAAAAAGGATCCACCTATCTAAAGCGCTTGAAAAAAAACAATAAATTTATTAGAAAAGTGTACTGAAAAAGCAAATTTTCCAGGTGAATACGTCACTGAAATCCTGTAAAAGTAGAAATCGTACATGAATTTGAAACTATTAGCATACAACAGTTGCAAAAATTTTAATACTGCTGATTAAAATGCTGAAAAAAAGCAAAAATCATCGGCGACGCGCACCAGGCAGGGCAGTGCGATCAAACGTTTTTGCAGTATTTTGTGCTGTAGTAAGGTAGCTTGGAACCCCAGTAGCTAGAATTTGTGACATACTGATCCTCGAAGTTCTGGAAGTTAATTTTGCAACTAGATGGTACTTGGACAAGGAACTCCGCTCAAAATTTCAGCTCCCAACTTTTCTGGTTTTCGAGTTAGCAATTTTCCGGCCGTTAAAATTTTCGTTTGCTTGTACGCGGAGTTTAAATGTAAATGAGGGTTGGTACTGCGATCCTGAGATGGCACTTTGCCGGGAAAACTATCGGCAAAATTTTAGCGCCGGGGCCTGCTTGGTTGCCAAGTTGAAACACCCGGAACACACACACACACACACACACGCATCGGGGTCGTGTTTTTACATTCGCATATATGCGAAAACGCATAATCAGTGATAGATCTCGAAAAATGATTTTTACGCCTCTTAGATAATGATATTACCAGGATCGCGCAGACAAATTCTGCAATGATCCGATACTAGCGATGTTTTAACAAGAATGCATCCCACACGCTGCAAGATTGCAGTCGTACTTTTGCTTTGAATAGCTATGCTGCAGATTTATGTATTTCAGCTTCATATTTTCATCACGTCCCCTGAAGTTTTTTGAGGAGCAGTTTACTTTCTCGCAAGTACCACACCACTCACTAGTACGCTGCATCAACTGGTTGTTCAGGCGATCAAAATGTGATGCCCATTGGGAAGAAAGGGGGGAGAGGAGGGAGCGAGAAGTAGAGGTCGGTGGAAGGAAATAGGGAAGGTGGAGGGTGTTATTTTAGTTTTCAAGGACCTGTAAAAGAGAGGAAGGGACTGAGGTATTGAACGGAAAGAAGCAGAGACCTTGCTTGGAGGTAAGAATTTGAAACAGGCGTGGGGGATTACGCTACACTTTTCAAGAAAAATTAAATTCACCATGCTGTTTGGATGAATAATCTTTTTCTCTTGCGTCTCTTCTGTGCCTTATGGCTTGCACTAATTCCAAGTCTAATTTCAGGTAATTGATAAAATTGAAGCATCACCATGGCAAATACGTGAAACGAATGCTCGGCTTGGCATCGGTTTGGCTGTTTTATTTTTCTATTTATTAATTGGAGCAGTTGTTTTTGTACAAATCGAAGGCCCAGCCGAGAAAAGCGATTTGGAAACATACGAAGAATTCAGATCGCACTGGGATAGGGTACTGCAGGAAGCTGGATTTGAAGGTTCTGAGAATTAATCTAATTTGTTGACGACCTACCTTTTTTGCTTCATAATAAGATTTAGAGTGGAAACTGAAGCGGAAGAAAGCAAGAATTCACAAAGCAGGAAGCGTTGCTTGCTCTCCTAGTTGGAGGCCACATATTAGTAATTTGTAGGGAATTTATTAATAATCAGTACCTTGTGAGGTAAAATAACCATTCGTTGACCTTTATCGATGTGGTACCTTGTGTTGCAAACAGAAAATAATAGATAGCAGTTGGAAACAAGTCAGGAGGACTTGGCATGAATGCGATGTGGAGGTGTTTCATCGTGAGTTTGCGAGTATTCATAGATTTCTGTTTTACATCGTTGGGGCTTATAAAATTTGGTTCTGTGATATTTTTGTGGGTTTTCTTTTGCATTTATGCAATGCAAAAATGCATATTGCCGAGGGGTTGTCTGTGTATGTATTTGTACTGAGTTTTCATCTCAAGACCTACGAAAACTACAAAGCTGAAAATCTGACAACTTAATGTTCACCTGTGTACGGGCCTCTAACCTCAAAATGAACGCTCTTGTTCGGGTGGTTCTCACATATGGACACGTAAAAGGTTTTTCTGCGGGAAAGCGATTTTGGGAACGCAAGTTAGACTGAAATTTCACCAAGATGCTCCTTGTTCAGTCCAATCGAAAGATTTTAAATTCAGCCTTCATGTACTCCTAGGTCACGTATGTACACGTTGAAGCTTAAATTTGCAGCATGTCAACTCGAGAATTAAGCTGATCAAGAAGTATGTAACTTTGCTTGACGCCCACTGACGTGACCGTGAAAGTAAACTGAGCTTTCCAGCCGTTTAGCAATTCACGTACGAGCATGTGAAATTTAACGTAGTTTTGTAACTTCGAGACTGAAGCAGCTGGGGGACTGAGACTTTCTGAGTGTGGTCGACGGCAGTGTTTGACCAGGTGGACTCGAAAGCAATTTTCGCGTTCCTTCTATGTTTCACTTACGTCTCATTTACGAACACGTAAAATTTCACGTAATTCCGTAACCGAAGTAGTTAGGGCGCTGAAATTTTCTGGACACGGCACTACGACCGTATTTGGGACGAAAACATAGAGTTTGACGTAGCCCCGCAACCAGAGCAGCTGTACTGCCGAAATTTTCAAAAATTGATCCTCGAAAGTGTTTGGGCAAGCAAAAAGCCCCGCCGCTCTCATCACATACGAAAATGACGTGATTTAGCAACTGAAATAACTAGTGCCGAATTTTTTGTGCATGAATTGGAATTACTGTGATAATTTCTGAAAGTCGTAGTGACCAGACTTAATTCTTTTAGCTAGAAGGATGTGACGAAAAAAAGTGCCGTTAATGACAAAAACTTGCGGAGGAGCTGTGCAAAAAACCCATCTTTGCACCAGCAGTCGATGCGCAGGCCAATTACTTAAATATGCAGCGAGCTGCGAAATCAGAGCGAGATTGTGTGGATGAAGAAAATTTCTCAAACAGCTGCGCTGTGTGAAAACGAAGCATAAAAAAAGGGTTAACCAATATCAAGTCGACAAATTTTTCGGGTCAATGTTTTTCTGGAGACAAAGCGGGCAGTGAACAAAGAGCGAGTTGAAATTTAAAAACCTGCTTGACTTATGAAATAATAGCGATTTCATACTGAGTATAAGCCAGGCATGAAATTGCAATCTTGTTTATCCTGACCCGAAAGATGTGACTGAAGCTGCATGGGCGTCCGAGCAGTGACAGCGGGATAAAAGTGGCAGCAACAGCTGTGAAGTTTGAATTTACATGGGCGAACCTGCAAAATATTTGCGACCAGAAGTGCACGCCTAACTCAAATCATAAATGGCCCAGAGTTAATTTCATCAACAGCTCTTGCATAAGCTAAATGATATTGCGGGAAGCTGACTTTCTTTTACAATTAAAGTTCGATTCATCTTCTAGAATCTGATGTGGATCGTCTTTTTGCTGATATTCGTGCAATGGCGCTTAAAGGTATTTGGACAGAAAGAAATATAACATCAGAGCTGAACTGGAGCTTTGGACAAGCGTTCTTTTTTGCTGGCGCTTTGATCAGCACGGTCGGTAAGCGGTATTTTTCTTCGAGTGCTCTAAATGTAAATCAACTCCAACACTGGTGATTGTGAGGGTTTATTCCATCAGCCAAAATAAGATGAATCACTGGCGATGCTCATCGGGCAGGCCTGCGCGATCATGCGTTTTTGCAGTATTTCGTGCTGTATAAGATCGTTTGGAGTCCCAGTAGCTAGAATTTGTGGCATACTGTTCCTCTAAGTTTAGGAAGTTATTTATGCAACTACGTGACACTTGGTCAGGGAGCGTTCCCTCAAAATTTCAGTTTTTCAGCTTTTCTGGTTCTACAATTAGCAAGTTTCCAGCCAAAAATATTCGTGAGGCCGTACGTGAGGACTATTCACACATGGAATCTACAAGCTATACGTGAGCTGAGAATATTTCCTTATAATTCCAATCTCCCAGCTTTTCTAGTCCCCGAGTTAGCGATTTTCCTGCCAAAGATTTTTACTGGACTGTATATGAGAACCACACAGTTCAGAGGCCTCAATTTAAAGTTTTTAAATTGTACGTGGTCTGGGAACATCCCCTTAGAATTTCAGTCCCCTAGCTTTCCTGGGTCCCAAGTTAGCGATTTTTCCGTCAAAAAAACTTAACGGGACCGTACATGAGAGAAACGCACACCTGGGGACTGAATTTGAAATCTTTGAGTTTTATGTGGACGGGGTAAATTACCTCAAAATTTCAGCTTCCCAGCTTTTCTGGTTCCCGATTCGGCGATTTTTCCGTCAAAAATTTATAGGCGCTGTACATGGGAACCACGCACACCTAGGGCTGAATTAAAATTCTTTAAGTTGTACATAGAGAATATCCCCTTAAAATTTCAGCCTCTTAGCTTTCCTGGTCTTCGGGTTAGCGATTTTCCTCCCGAAAAATTTGACGGACTGTACATAGGAAACACGCACACATGGGGGCTGAATTTGAAGACTCTGATTTCTATGTGGACGAGAAAAATCCCCTCAAAATCTCAGCTTTTCTGGTCCACGAATTAGCGATTTCTCCCCCTCTCCTTCCCACCCCCTTCCTCCCAAAAGTCTTCATGGGACCGTACGTGAGAAGCACGCGCGCCTGGGAGCTGAATTTGCAATCTTTGAATTCTTAGTGGACGGGGACTTGTGCAGGATGGGATCATCGCAATAAATTTTTTCAAAGCAGTCATCGACTACAACATGCCGTAAAAACGCAGTCGCACCTTTTCGCTGATTAGCACTGCTACTTATTTCCCCGTTTGGCTGATTTATTTCACGCGTTGTTTCGTATACTTGAAGTCTGACTAGTTAGTAATTGATTATCGGAAATCATGCCCAGCTTCTGCCAAAAGAGGAAGCATACTTCAAACTTGACTATTTCCTCGATTCAAAATTACGCTTCTAGGTAATTTAGTTATGTTGTTGTTTCCCAAAACATGGACAAAATTTAATAAAATTGAGGAGGAAAATGTGCACGCATAAATTATTGCTGCTAAAATTACCTGTCGTTTAGCAACATGATATGCATTTTTATACATTTTCTTTTTGTATGAATTAACTCTTAGCCAGACATGCCAAAAGGAATGATTAGCGATGCGCCAGACTTACCAGTGAGACCATGCGTTTTCACTTGAATTTTGATGTAGACAGAGTGTAACAATATGAATGACCGTTGCTTTCCTATTAAACACTTGCACTCAAATTGGCAATTGTTTCGTCTTTTCTGACGTGCTGGGAGAAAAGGAATTCGGGCTGGGATAGTGATGCATCGTTAGGCCGCTTGAAATCGGACCACAGCCATGTAGCTCACACATTAACAGAAACAACAGTGCAGTAGTTCAACTTTCTACGTTGGCTGGTTCTCAGAATCGCTTCCCGCCAAAAAATTTATGCACTTTTCAATTCTCGCACTGTTCATGTGCGTGTCACGAAATGTGGCAGGACTTTCGCATAGGCACGGGCTCTGTGTGCAGGTACATCAAATGATCAAACTAAAACACCATAATCACACCCCAGTAGTGCAAGCGGTTTCCCTACATGACGGCATCATGCAATAGCTCAGGCTGGAACGCACCAGGCGAGTCAGTGCAGTCATGCGTTTTTGCACCAGTCTTGAAGTAATTAGGTTACTGAATGAACGGTTGTTTCTTCACACTTACCTTGTGCGCTCAGTACCGTAAATCATAAATTTTTGATAAAAGAAAATAAACAATTTCCGTTTAGAGGTCGTTTTTATTTGAAAACCCAGGCTGGAAAGCGCCTGGCGAGTTGCTGCGATCATGCGTTTTTGCATTAAACTTGAAGTAATTAGGTTAACTGCATGAATGATTGTTTCTTCACACCTACCTTGTGCGCTCAATACCGTAAATCATCGCAAAATTGTATAAAAGGAAATAAACTATTTTCGTTTAGCGGTTCAACAATTTTCCGCCAAAAATGTTTCATGGGGCCGCACATGAGAACCACATAGGGCTGAGGGCTGAATTCGATAACTTTAAGTCGTACACGAGCTGGTAACATACTCTGAAAATTTCAGCTTCATAGGTTTGCTAGTTCCGAGTTAGCCATTTTCCCACCGAAAAATCACACGGGGCCGTACGCGGGAGCCGCGCACACCTGGAGACTGAATTTAAAATCTTTAAGTCATATGTGGACGGGGAACATAACCTCAAAATTCCAGCTTTCTACCTTTTCTCGTTCCTGAGTTATCAATTTTGCCGCCAAAACTCTCACCCCCTCATACGGAGGGCCTAGACTTGCGTAAGGGTTGGTACCGCGGTTCTGGGATGGCACTTGGAAGGGGAACCTACTAGCAAAATCTTGGCGCTGGAACTTGCTTGGTTGCCGAGTTGAAATACCCGAACAGACGAACACACGCACACAGACAGAGTCGTCGCAATATGCGTTTTTGCAACTTGCATATAGGCAAAAACGCATAAAAAAGCATGATTGCACCGGCAAGCTTGATACGTCGCTCGCTAACCACGCAAGCTTTGAAGCTAAAATTATGCCAGTGTGTTCCCCAGCCAGGTACCACCCCGAGACAGCAGTTTCAACCCTCACGCACGTCTGGGCCCCGCTTGCGAGCACGTGAAAGTTTTGGTGCGAAAATCGCCAACTCGGGAAAGAAAAAAGCTAGAAAGCTGAAAACTTGCGAGAAATTGTCCCATCCATTTGTGACAAAAGGATTTCAAATTCAGCTGCCCAAGAGTGCCCAGGGCTTATGTACGAGCAAGTGAAAATTTTGGCGGGAAAATTTATAACTCGAGAATGAGAAGAGCTAAAAAGTTGAAACTTTGGGGCAATATTCCATACTCATGCACGACCAAAAATTTTCAAATTCAGCTCCTTAAGACCGCCAGGGAATCACGTACGGGTACGTGAAAATTTTGGCGAGAAAGTCACTAACCCAAGAAAGGCGGAAACTTTAAGGGAATATTCCCTACTCATGTACGAGCAAAATCAGGTGTTTAGAAGCGCTCGGTCCTACGTGCGAGCGCGCAGAAATTTTGACACGAAAACTACTAACCCGGGAACGTGAGAAGCTAGAAAGCTGAAATTTTCGGGGGATGTTTCCTACTCATTGTAATTTTAATGTAATTTTAACGATCATGTACGACCAAGATTGGGTGTTTAGAAACGCCCGTGCCCACATACGAGCGCGTGGGAATTTTGGTGCGAAAATTACTAACCCGGGATCGGAAAAAGCTAGAAAACTGAAACTTTAAAGAAATGTTCCCTACTCATGTACGAGCAAAATCAGGTGTTTAGAAGCACCAAAGCCCACGTATGGGCATGTGGAAATTTTGGCGCTAAAATTACTAACCCGGGAAAGGGAAAGCTAGGAAGCTGAAACTTTAGAGTAATGTCCCCTACTCGTGTGTGATCAAAAGATTTTGAATTCAGCTTTTTAAAACCGTCCAGTACTCACGTATGGAAAATTTTGATGGGAAAACTGCTAACTCAGGAACGAGAAAAGCTGAAGGCTTTAATTGTGAGGAAATGTTTCCTGCTCATGTACAACTAAAAGATTTTAAACTTAACTCTTCTTGTGTGGCCTTTTTTTGTGGACCAGCAACTTTCCATTTATCGGGTCACTGAAGTCGACACCTACAACTGACATATCACATAGATACACAATTAACTTCCCGAACTTCGAGGGCCAGTATTTCACAGAGTTAGCTACTTTGATTCCTTGCGA